TAAATATAACCAGCAAAAAAGAAATAAGAAGTAGTCAGTAATGACATGTTTGAAAACAACAAAACAGCAATGGAAAAATTAAGAAAATGGAACGTTGCTGTTTTGGAATTTTATTTTAATTTTTTTGCAAAATTCAATGCAGTTGAGAGCTCAAGACATTCTAGATTGAAATAACAGAACATTAAACAACTGAAATAAATTTCTCTTAAAATATTTTAACATAATGAATTTGAGAATTGTAGACCTTTAGAAATCAGCAATACCGATATATTTTTAATGAACTGTGTTCTTTGTTGTTATAGGGGTGTTTTTGTTGGTTTTTTTTTTTTTTTTTAATTTTAAATAGAAATGTGAATCTCTTAGCCCCTAAGAAATTTCCTTTGGTTTATCACACAATGTTATCAGTTGCAAAACAGCTGGTACACTGTAATCATAGGCCATGACAACCCATTGTGTTCACCCCAACACATTTCTCATTCCTATGTTATTTTCCTATGGGAAATTTCCCTCTAACACAGTTTTCTTCACAGCCACAAAGCACAGAAGTCCTCCTCCCTGCTCCACTCCTCTTTTTCTAGGACAAAGGCCATGGGACCACAGCTCCTGGAGAAGAAACACTACTGGGGAACTACCTGCTGACCAGTACTCACAAAATCTCTCCTACAGGACCTCACATTTTTGGCAGAAAACAAAGTAATTGATTTAAATACAAATGTATGTCAGCACTAATTAATTTGGTGCTCAAGTGTGAAAGGTACAAGGTTTCTAAGATATTATACCTCACTGTGACTTCAGAAATGCCTTGAGAAGATTTTGTTACATTTCTCCATTCTCCAATAGCTTTCCCTTGCATTTTCTTCAAAACATTTCTTCCAGCTGCCCCAGTTACAAGATCTCCTCATTTGACACTTCCCAGTTCCAACAACTTCTTAAAATAGTGACAAGGTGCACACCATGGCAATATTTACCTCCAGCTTTATCTTGCTACTGAGAATCCAGTCTTGGCCAGTCCCAAGTCAGACAGGATCTCTCACTGTTTTAGCAAGTGATATCTGAACTGAAGCTAAATCTAATGAAAATGGTGTCTCTTATACAAATCTTAGTCTCACCTCAGCAACCTGTAGCAAACTCAGCAAACTGTAGCAGTTCAGTTCAAGTTTTAGGATCTCCCATAAAAATCACATCAAAGTATCAACAGCTGTTCTGGTTCTGCTGAAGACATACCTTCATTTCAACCTTTTTTTATAGGAACATTGTCAACAGACCTTTCTGAATACTCTTCATTCAGAGTTCTGAGCTATTCCTCGCAGAGCAGAAATAGGTGGTTGGTGAGTAAACAATCCACACCATTATTCTCTATCTCCAGCAAGAAAAAGGTAGCAGATTGTATAAAAGATTGGAGACTAGATAGCAGCTAGCTATGTTTAAATAAGGAATGTGCCATGACTCGGTAAGTTACATTCTCAGATCTTCCCATCTCTCTAGGTATACCATAGAATCATAGAATTGTAAAATCATAGAAACACAGAATTACAAATGATAGAATCACAGAAGGGTTTAGAGATCGTTCAGTTCCAACCCCTGTGCTATGGGCAGGGTTGTCATCTACTAGATCTGGTGATATATACAAAACTCAGATGTTTTTCAATTTAAATAGATACTCCCTATTCATTTTTTAGCATGTATGCATTCCTGTTTGGTAAATTATTAAAAACAAAATCCAGACTGATGTTCTGCCTAGCAGACAAAAATGTCTCCTTTATACTTCTGAGATTCATGGTAATCCCAGTGTGTCAATATGTAACCGTTTTGTATCTGAGATTTTTTCTGTAGAGTTTTTGTAGACAGTAAAAATAATTTGGCATCACAAGTCCTTGAAGTTCAAAGACCTGACCCTAAGATGCCAGTAATATTTTGATCTTAGTCCAAAAAGTATTTACTCATGTCAAGTCTCAGCACTCTATCTCAGCCTCCAACCCCATTAGCCCAGTTGTTCCTTAATGCTATAAATGTAAAAATATAATTTTTTCCCATCCCAATCCTGATCACTCTTTTTAAAGGTTCTCCAATGTTTTTATTTTAAATATATTTCTAGGTACATTTCTATTAATCTTATGTACATGGTAACCTCATTCTTCTCACCTTTCCTTCTTTTCTTTTATGTTACATCTAAAAAATCAAAGAGAGGCTTGTTTAACTACTGTTTTTACTTGATTTTTAATCATAGATTTACTTCTGGACAGCAACAACTGCAGTAAGATTTTGAAAATAAAAGACTTGTCCATTACCTGAGTTATTTCCAAGTAGAAGATTGTAAAATTATGTTAGTTTTAATGACCAGGAGAAAAATATCTAGGATAATTGAGGAGTATCTAAGACAAAAATACAGAACCAATTAATTTTATTTAAGGAACTAGAAGCCAATAGATTGTAATTAGTTGTTTTCAATCTATTACCATGAAAGAAAACACTGGTCACAACAATAATGTTATAAAAATCAAAATGACTGCTTGGGATAGGCAGATTAAAATTTCCAGATGTCTGAAATTACATAAATTTCACTGAGAAAAAAAAAGATGCACTAATCTGTATTCAGGTGATCTCTGAAAACGCTGCTGGCAGCCTTAACCAAAGAGGAGGCAATCACAGAGAAAGACAGATGGGAATAATGCCAATGTTTAGGGTAGACAGGCCTGTCAAAATATGAGACACTTATTTATTAAAAAAAAAAAAAAAAAGCAAACAAAAAAAAACCCCACAACTGATTTAATAATAGAGTCATTTGGCTTTTTAAAGCAATTACAGTTTAGACATCCTCTTTGCTAATTCAGTCTGTATCACCACAGGACACTTTCCCTTAGACAACAGCTGCACACTACTCCTGAATCCAGGGAAGACTGAATGGAACAGCACATGACTGCATTTTTATTCTTGACATATTCATAGAAAAGGCTTCAAGTGCAGGAGCCAAGTGAAGTTGAATCTTACTTCTATTCACTTTTTTCCCTAAGTAAGGAAAAAAATTCTTTACAAGCACACATGATTTGACATATAGAGATGAGAATGTGAGAGCAACGTGAAATGTATTATATATGCAACCTTCAATCGTGCTGTTCTTCTTTGTCAAACACCTGAAAAGATTCTGAAAAGGATTCTGCAGGAAAAAGCAATCACATGTACCTATGGTTTCACTAAGAACAACACAACACTGACACCGCTGTATAGAAGGTAGTATTGACCCATGAGAGTGATCTGCTGAGCAGATCCTCCAGTCTGCATACACACCAAAGAGTTGGCTTACTAAGAAGACACAAGCACATGTGCACAGTTCCACAGTCTGCCTTACAAGGTTGCGTGTGACCCCTGCTCTGCTAACCACAGCCCCCAGCATTTCTGAAGTGTAAGCTGTGGTAAGCAGGCTCTAGACAGGCTCACTAGAGAAAGCAGTAGTTTTTTGTTTGAATGGCTTTGAAAACAAATGTTCGCTGGCTACTTCAACAGAGTGTGAATCACAACCAGCTGTATGCTTCAGAAATATCTCAGTTTAGCATACAGGTCACCATCACGTGCTAAGGAAAGTCCCCCCTTCCTTTCAGTTGGGGATTAATAGAGCATTTTGTGTGAATGCTGGATAATTAGTGTTGTTAGCTGTCAATTCACAATTTCGGATGAAATCCCAAGTAGCCAACTGCATGCTGCAATCACTGGCATATTCACTAATTTGCATTACAAAACTCTTCAGCTGCCAGTCATCTCAGCTGGCCTCACAGAGATTTATTTGTGTGCATATACAATGGACCTACTTCTTAATGAAATATCTAATTGGAACCGATCTATTGATTTCTACTTGTACTATTACTAAAACTTGTTTTCCATTACATACAAAATATATTCATTATATAAATATTCTTTTACTGCCTTGTCTCCTTTTCTTCTTACATTCATTCTTGGGAAACAGAAAACATACACTTCCAGATATTACTTGTTCTTTGTTAGTTGTACTTAGGGTCATTCCAAGTCTTACCTCTCGCACTACATTGTTTTATTTCAGTACAGATTAGGACATGAAATATTCAACCAAAATTTCAGGGGTTCATTGCACTGGATCTGGCTGAGATGGCATTAATATTCTTCACAGCAGCCCCCAGATGCTATGTTTCCATTTGGGACTAAAGCAGCATTGACAACACACCCAAGCTTTGGCTCTTGCTAAGCAGCACATTCACAGCACGGAGGTTTTCTTCCTCCCGCTTTGTCCTGTTGGTGAGGAAGCTGGGGGTGGCCAAGAAGACAGAGGGGGACACAACCAGGACAGCTGACCCCAAGCAGCTAAAAGGATATTCCATACCATGCAGCGCTGGTTAAAGCAATCGTTAAAGGAAGGTGGACATTTGCATTTATGCTGTTTGTATTCCTAAGGAATCCTTGAATATCATCACAGAATCACAGAATGGCCAGGGTTGGAAGGGTCCTCAAGGATCATGAATCTCCATCCCCCTGCCACATGCAGGGCCACCAACCTCCCCATTTAATACTAGACCAGGCGGCACAGGGCCCCATCCAATCTGGCCTTGAACACCTCCAGCGACGGGACACCCACAGCCTTTCTGGGCAGCCTGTTCCAGCACCTCACCACTCTCTCTGTAAAAACTTCCCCCTGACATCCAACCTAAATCTGCCCTCCCTCAACTGAAACCATTTCCCCTCGTCCTGCCGTTATCTACCCTTGTAAAGAGTTGAAGCACTGACCAAACAGTGCTCCCCTGGAAACAGCTAAACATCTGCCCACCAGCAGGAAGTTGTGAACGAAGAACTTATTTTGCTTTGCTTATGCATGCAGCTTTGCTTTGCCTCTGCAAGGAGGAGGAGAGGACACGGACAGGCACACGAAGCCCGCCGCCCAGGCTCTCTCCGATGGCGGCGAGCCTCCATCCGTCTCCACGGAAACAGCGCGGTGGGCGGGGCCGCTCCGTTGCCATGGCAACCGGAAGTGCCGCGCGGCGCTGGCTCCGCCCAAGGCGACCCGCGGGAGGGGTTGCCGCCCTCAGAAGATGGCGGACGGCGAGGCAGCTCCCGCGCAGCAGGAAGGGGAAATGTCGGCGGCCGGCCCGGGCGTCCGGAGGGAGCGGCAGCACCGCGGCGGCGGTCGTCCGCCCAGCGCGCGAGATTTACAGGTGAGCGAGCGGGGAGGAGCGCCCCGGTCCCTCAGCGGGGCGGAGCGTTGTCTCAGGGGTGGCTGTGAGGCGGCAGGGCGGAGCGCGGGGCTCCTGGTGGGGCTGTGCGCCTTAGGGCCGGGCCTCCGAGTACGGGGGTGAACCTGAAGTTATTTGCTATTCCCTCTTTCCTGGCTCCTCCTTAGCATCTGCTTGTGGTCTTTGCGTCTGCGATTTGATATCGCGTATTAAATAAAGGAAAAGTTATGAAACAACGTACAGTGTTCAGGGCAAAAGTAAGTTGCTAAAAAAATGGTGTGTTAGATGTGCCTCTCACTGTTTCCTGAAAAAGAACTTTCCATTGATATGGCAGCCCGTGGGGAGAAGTTTCTTATTAGAAATATTTACAATGATATTTGGAAATCAAGCCAGTCAGGCTGAGTTTCTGTCTTAATCCCAGTATGTACTTCAGTTGCATTTTTTTTCTATTTCTGTGTCGTATGGTTGTAAAATTTATTTGCTTCCCAGTTTTATCAGAGGGATTCTTAACAAATTTATTTCAGTTTATTAGCATTGAAGAAATTATGTGTAACGTATACAGGTGTGTGTAGTCTGAAGCTTTAATGTAGGCTGAAGGTAACTAATGAGACTCTGTGGACCAAGTGCAAGCAGAGTACAAGTATCACATAACTCTGGCATGAGCATATTGAGTATTTCTTGCTTTTTTTTTCATAAAATAGAAAGGAAGCTTAATTTAGAGAATTAATTGAGTGTTCTCATGTTGATGTCTCTAATTTTCTGACAGTGTGCACGTTTAGCATTAGTGTGTCTTATTTCTGTTCTATATGTAGCTTTAGACCTCTAAAAAGAGTACTGTTTCCAACAGTTGGCCTTGGCAGAATTGTATGAAGATGAAGCTAAAAGGCAGTCATTGCGTCCTGACAAACCAACGACAACAAAGATGAGTAACTCAAAGGGGTAAGGGGCGCTTTGTACTTCAGACATGTGTCAAATAGGAGCTGTATTAGCTAATAAAATGTTGTCGTCGTAGTTAATTTCTTCTTTTTGTACAGACAGTGCTCTACAGCAGTTCACAGTCAAAAGTTCGGAATGCCTGTAATAATGCATAGTCCACGTCTTAGAATGGTTTTTTAGTCATACTTATTTGGCAGCTGTTGTGTTATATGCTATTCCAAAGTGCTTTAAACCCACTTCACCTAAGATGAGATTAAGATGCTCCAAGTGAAATGTGGTGTTGCTTGTTTTTTTTTCCTCAGAGATAGAATTCAGGTAATTGCTGTGTCAGAAAAATACTGCAGTTCTTTCCTTCTTCAAAATTCAGCAGATCAGTAGTTTGTGTGGAACTTGATGAGAGCTGCTCTGAGTCTTCTGTTTAGGTCAGTATTACTTAAGTAACTAGCCAGATAAATGAGTTGTGGGTTCATAGGAGGTGAGAGAAATTAGGATGACTTTGTGATTAAGTTGTTTGGTGGTGCTGGGTGGATAGAAGACGTGTTTGTAGATATAAAGCCAGGTTTTGCTGTCCTGTAGTGTTTGCAGTTCACGTGGGGTTTGAAGATTCAATATAGCTTTGAAACTTTTATAAAGAAACCTTGCCAGTTCTTAATTAATTGTTCTTTAATTGTTCTAAAGAAGTCTTTAAATCATCACTGTCAATGATGCCATAACAAGGATTGTATTTGGCTTGTCTTTCCTTCTCTGCTGCCAATATGAATCTCCATTTCAAAAGAGGTCAAATATCAGAAAAAGAGCTTAGTCAGCAGCACTATACCTTGAGTGCATTTGCAAATGCAGATCCTTAGGAAGAGGGAATTTAGCACCAGATGAGAAAATTGCAGAATAATAGTTTGGGTTTCTTGGACAAAACTGCCTAAGATCAGTTATGTAGAACAGATTTTATAAACAAATTAAACAAACAGCTCTATTTATCTGTACCTGTCATGAAGTTACAGCTTCCTGTTCCAGATGAAGAAAAAACTGCAGTACAGTGTCTTAAATACTCAGTGTGACTGCTATTGGCAAGGACTTGCTCTTTGTTGGCATTCATGCTGGAATCTGAAGTGGAAAATGGCTGCAGTTCTGTTATTTGCATGGTATCCAAAATGAGATGTGTGTATATATATATTTTTTTTACTTCAGTTTTCTTTTTAATGAGCAGTGTTAATTATAAGGAAACATAATGCTTCTCTTGAAGTTATCTACTTGTCTGCACAGTTGCAGGTATAGAGGATGTCTATGGGCCCTGCCGGAGCAAATGCCATTATGTTATATAATCTCTAGCAACTTCACCAAATTTAGGACAGTTGGCATAAAAGTACAAAGCTCAGAATGTGTCAAAGGAAGAAAACAGAAGAGATTAAGAATAGAAGAATAACACCATAGAAAAGCTTTTAGTGCCCATGACCTAAGTTTGTAACAATACGTTTGTTATTTTTTTCTGAGAAGAAAATAAAAAGCTGAGCCTTCTTGGAGATGTAGAATCACCTTGTTTTAACACCAGTACTTAAAAAAGTAATGTCCTGCTCCACTATATTTTGATTTGAAATGTATTGAGGTGAAACATTGCTTAAGTCTGAATTAGCAAACTGCCGTGTAGCGGACTGTTGTATGCGTGTTCTTATCTTGCCTGTGAGCTTGGCTGCCTTACGCAGATCCTTCATTGATGAATTTTATTGTGAAATACTGCAGGATGAGGGTTTACATCTGTACAGCTCTTCCTGGCATATTGCAAACTAACAACCTCGTTTGTCTTCTGGTAGCATACCAACTGGTCCCTGTGTTGAATTAAATGGGCATTTAATAATCTTCTGAAAGTCTTTGCAACAATGCCATTCAATATGTTTCTAAGATCATGCGGGATAGAAGTGAAAACTACTACTACTTAGTTTCTGGGATACTCATAGACAGGAATTCCAGGACATCAAAAAAGTGGCAGTGGCTTCACTAGGCAACAAAATCAGCTAAAATGTGGGAAGAATTTGAAGTGAAGTTAATACTGCAAGACAGGATTCTCCAATTGATGTTCAGCTTGTAATATTACCTTTATTATCTGTGAGATCTGCCAGCAGAATTTCACTTCAGGCTTATTCAGTATTAAGCGTCTGTGTACCGTGGACAAACAGATATGATGAGAAGATAAACTTATCATTAAGGTGGATCTTCTGGAGCATTTTGTCTGGCTTAGAAATAAAATTGTCTTGTTTAAAAAATGGTAAAATCAAAAATATGTCCTTCCTTTTAAAAAAGTGGTTTCAGAAGTTGGATGTGAAGAATTTAGTGCATCTGATACATGTGGCGAGTATGTGCCAGTCATCTTCATTTATATTCTTTCATTTTTTCTCAACAGTCTTAAAATAGATTCTTTCAGAAGCTTAAGAAAACCGGAGAGAAGCATGAGTGATGATAAAGAAAACCAAAGGTATTTTAAAAACAAAAAGCTCATGTAACAGTTGTGAAAGTAATTGTTATTTTTCTTGACATTGCTCCACCCTGTTTTTGAAAATGCATTTGTTCATAAACTTACTTTCACTAATGGGAAGAGGAAAATTATGTTTGTTGTTTTAAAGCATTGTTGCTTATGAATGTTACTATTCTCTAGATTTTATTCAGGTGACTCAGAATACAGCGGATTACAAATTTCTGGGGCTTCTAACAATCCGAGTAAAATTGTTGCTGAACTCTTCAAAGAAGCAAAAGAACACGGGGCTGTACCACTAGATGAAGCCTCAAGAACATCTGGTGACTTCAGTAAAGCTAAGGTAAAAGTCAAAAGGTATTTTGATCTCTATTTACATCAGGCTCTTCGAAACTCGCATAATCACATGAGAGCAAATATGTCCTTCTGTGGTTTGCATATAGCAGAGGATTTGATCAATGCAGTTGTGTATTGTATGTGCTCAGTAGCTTGTTCTAGAAAATAAAGTGATGGGATACCATGCAATTTCAGGGAATTATAGAATCACCAACCTTGGAAAAGACCTTCCAGATCATCCAGTCCAACCATCCAACTACCACCAATATTTCCCCACTAAACCATGTCCCTTAGTACATCTAAATGTTTTCTGAATGCCTCCAGCGATGGTGACTCAACCTCCTCCCTGGGCAGCCCATTCCAACGCCTGACCGCTTGTTCTGAGATGAAATTTTTCCTAATATCCAACCTGAGTCTCCCTGGATGCACCTTACAGTCATTCCCTCTTGTCCTATCATACTTACATGGAAGAAGAGGCCGACCCCCCCCCCTTGTCACGACTTCCCTTCAGGGAGTTGTAGAAAGTGATAAGGTCTCCCCTGAGCCTCCTCTTCTCTAGACTGAATAATCCCGGTTTCTTCAGCTGCTTCCCATATAACTTGTGCTCCAGACCCTTCAGGGCTTCTCGCTCCACGGCCTCAATGTCTTTCTTGCAGTGAGGGGCCCAAAACTGAACACAGCACTCGAGGTGCAGCCTCACCGGTGCTGAGTACAGAGGGATGATCACTTTCCTGCTCCTGCTGCTGCACTGTTTCTGATACAAGCGAGGATGCCATTGGCCTTCTTGGCCACCTGGGCACATGGCTGGCTTGTTTAGCAGAATGCTGACCAACGCACTCAGGTCCATTTCTTTCACGCAGTCTTCCAACCACTCAAGCCTGTAGCGTTGCCTGAGATTTTGTGGCCAAAGTGCAGGACTTGGTCTAGTTGGACTTCATGCTATTGGCCTTAGCCAATGTCAGCTTCTTTAGGAGAATACTGTGGGAGACAGTGTCAAAGGCTTTGCTGAAGTCTAGGTAGACTACATCAACAGCCTTTCCCTGGTCCACCAGGTGGGTCACTCGATTGTCGATGGAGATGAGGTTGGTCAAGCAGAAACTGCCTTTCATGAACCCACGCTGGCTGGGCCTGATCCCTTGTTTATCTTGCACATGTTGTGTGAGAAGAATTGTTAGATAACAGCTTGAACTGGGATTATTTGCTTCATTTTTAATTAAGTTGATTTTTAAAAATCAGCTGCAGTCAAAATGTCTGGTTTGAATTACTTATGTTTGAAAAAGTGTACAGACTAGAAACTAATATTGATCCTATACAAATCACTAGATGTATACTTTCTAAACAGAAAATTTTAAGTTACAGTTGCTTGCTCTTTATCATGGAAGCAAGCTTGCTGTTGTACTTAATTGTACCTTGATAAATTTAATAAACTGTTTCAGATATCTTTTCAGTGAGCTTTACTTTGTCTATTTTTCAGTCATTTTCTGGTGGTGGATATAGATTGGGTGACTCGTCTCAAAAGCACTCTGAATATATATATGGAGAAAATCAAGATGTAAGTACAATTCTGAATAGCCATAAACAGTGTCTCTGATTGTTGCCTGCCTTTACTGTGTCTACAGCTTAAAATACCAGTATTACTGCAGTTGTCGATGAAGAAGGACAAATATCTAAATATTAAAAATGCATTCAGTAGAAATTAATTGAAAGTGTTCCCAGAGGAAAAATATTTATTTAGTAGATACCATTAAGGGTTGTGTTACAGATGTGCTTGACAAGAGGACTGGATGACCACATGCAACTTTGGGAACTTGAGTGCTGGGAGCATTCTGATCTCCTGACCTGATTTGTGAAGCAGAGGTTAGAATTAAAAGCTTAATTTGATGCAGAGAAGAGACACAACAGCTATTAAGACCTCTAGGCATTCACAGAACTGATCTGGGTTAATTAAAATCCCTTGGTAATTAATTATTTCTGTTTAATATTTTTTGCTCTGTACATATATTGGAAGTGACTGTTTCTAGTAAATACCTACCACCTGAATATCTTTACCATGCTTGGTAAAATAATAGTAAATAATAAATTAAAATAGTGATTTTTGGGTAGTTCATAATGTAGAAAAACAAGTTGTCTTTATGTTAAATGATACCACAACTTTATTTTGCCAGTTACCTTTTTCTTAGTGTTAATACCATGCAGATAGTTGAAATGTAGGAAAACTAGAAAAATAAAGGATTTCTTCAAAACTGTGGGGAGAGACTGCTTTGATTATGACTGGAATGCAGTTAGCAGGGTACTTATCCATGATTTCTCAGAATACTTGAAACTGGGAATGTCTTTGTTCAGGTCACCTAGTCCAATGCTTCTCCTCAAGGAGCCTGTTGCCCAGGATGCCATGTTCTCTAAGGAGGAGACTCCACAACCTCTCTGGGCAGAATGTTCTATTGCTCAGAAACCTGCAAAGTAAAGAAATGCTTCCTGATGTTCAGAGCAAACCTCCTGTATTCCAGTTTGTGCCCATTGGCTCTTGTCCTGGCACTGGGCAGCAGCATACGCAGCCTGACTCTGTCTTATTTGCACCTTCAGGTATTTACAGACTGATGAAATCTCCCTGAGCTTTCGCTTCTTTAGGCTGAACATGCCCAGCTCACTGTCAGACTTCCCACATAGGGGAGGATGCTCCATTCCCTTCATCTCTGTGACCTTTTGCTGGACATTTTCCATTACATTTGTGTCTTTCTTGTACTGGGGAGCCCGAAACTGGACACAGTGCTCTTAATGTGGCCTCCCCAGCCAACTGCTGGCAAAGCTTTGCCTAATACAGTCCAGGATACCATTAGCTGCCTTTGCTGCAAGAGTGCATTGCTGGATCATGTTCTACTTGGTGTCCTCTAAGGTTCTGCCAAGCTGCTTTCCAGTAAGTGCCCCCCCCCAGTCTGGTACTAACTAGGATGTTTTCTTCTCCAGATGATGGGCTTTGCATTTCTTCTTGAACTTCATGAGGTTCCTGTCAGCCCTTTTTCCAGCCTGTTGAGGTGTCTGTGAATGCCAGCATGATCCTCTGGTGTATCAGCTGCTACTCCCAGTTTTGTGTCGTCTTCAAATTTGCTGAGGGTATACTCTGTTCTGTTGGTGAGATCACTAACAAAGATTCTAGACACTCATCACCACTTCTGGGCCTGTCTGTCCAGCTAGTTTTCAGTCCAGCTCGTTGTTTGCTCATCCAACCCAAACTTTAACAGCCCCTCTGTGAGGATCTCCAGGTGGGCAATGTTGACTGTTCTCCCCTCATCTTCCAGGCCAGTCATTTAATTACAGAAGTTGGTAAAAACAGTTTCTAGTTGGTGAATCTGTGCTGACTGCTCATGATGAATTTGATGTCTTTCCTATGCCTGGAAAATGACTTCTGGGTTTAGATGCTCCAGTCCTTTTTCAGGAATTGAGGGGTGAGGCTGACTAACAAGTAATCATTTGGCAAATTTGTTTCATTTCTTATAGTCAGCAGGTCTTAAAGACTTTTTCTCCCAAATGCATCTGAGCTACCACAGACATGCTTAAACTCTGTTCCAGATTTATTTGAGCATGTTAGTGATTTTGAAACCAGCAGTTCACATCCTATCTGTTAACCAGCTGAAAGTGGATTTGAGTGTAGTGGCAGTTCTGTGAATGTCATCCTTTGATTTTTTTTTTTATGGAAAATGCTTGAAAACAAAATTAATTCAAAATATAAAAACCAGTTATGTTAATACCTCTGTAGCATTTATTCTTTGTTAATGGAAATTAGTTTTCTCTAGACACGATTCAAGTTCAAAACTGTCTTAAATTTTGATGCTAAGTTGAGGCATGGTTATTTCTGAGAATAGATAAGCTAAAAGAATCCCATTCTTCTTTAATAATAATATTCAGTTCACTGTGACTTTATAGTTTTTTATATAATCTGTGTACAATTTGTGCTAGAGTTCTCTTTGCAAATTATTTTCAATATGGTGGAAAATGCATGGTTTTCCTTTCATAGCAGACTGTAACTAGTGGGAGAGAAGGCTCAAGTCAGGGACAGTGTGCCCACCCACAGCTGAGAAAGCACTGATTTCACTACTTGAGAAACCGTGAGGAGGAAAAAAAAAGAAGTTTTGTCCATGTTTGTAGTCATCTTTTGCATGCTTTCATGTGAGTGGCTGAAATTGATTAAACCATTCTGTTGCACAAATTATAAATGGCTGGTTTTGTAAATCCTCTCTATGCAGGTTACTTATATCTTCTCATCTTGACACTTTGCTGTACTTGACACAATTTGTGGAATAGTCTACTCTGACTCAAGATCGAATGTGGGAAAAATCAGGTCATCTTTTAAATTATTCCTCATTTTCTTCCTTATACAATTTAAATGCATCCTAGCTGATAATATGAAGATAGTGGAGACATCAAAAGCTTTTATTTGCCAGTTTTTCAGTCTGAGCATGAGTTTCTGTCTTCTTTTCCCTGTGTCTTAGATACAGCTTAAATTTTTCCACTTATTAGTAAGAAAGAAACAAAGGTTATATATACTGCTAGTCTCATAATGTTTAAAAAAAAAAAACAAAACAAAAACCTAACATGCTAGATTGAAAGACGGTCTAGTCCAGCCTCTTGTTCCCACAAGCCAGCAGAAGTAATAAGTTGGATCAGGGAGATGATCCAGGTTAAAAGCTAATCTTTTCTTCTTTTTCTCCCTTTCTTCTTGTCAGATTTATGTTGTTCAGGATCATGTCATTGTGTGAAAGTGAGGGAGAGTCAAAAATACAAAATCTTCTATATCTCGCTATTCAGATGAGTGGCTAGAGATGATGTTAAGCTCATCGAGGCAGGAAAAATGAGAGAAGCTAAAGGATGTAGTTTAGGTTGGGAGCTTATGTCATGGCATGCCAGGAAATGATGCCTTTTTCCCTCTTAAGTAATCCTTCTGCTTGTTAAGTAATAGCCTGCTCTGTTGAGCCAGAAGCATGTTGCAGTGGGGTTACCATTATTTGAAGCAGGGCTAGTTTTCTAAGCACAGTTTTACTGATTAGGAAAGCCTAATCTTGCTGGGCTGTAAGGTGTTAGTTGCAGGGAAGAGAGGTGCAGACTTCTGAGAGCTGCAGTGCCTCCAGTGATACAGGCTTTGGCTGGTGGTACGTGCAGGCAGCAAAATCAGAGGGAAGTGATGGAAGCTGGTGCCCAGCAGTGCTCAGAATTTGAACTGGGTAGAGATAGTATCAACTTTAACTGCAGTTAAACAATTTGAGGAAATAGCAATTATAACTCTAACTGGTATATCAGCAATATTTCGTGAAAGTATGCATTTGTTTCTTAATTTATCAACAAGAAGTGTTTACTGCTTTTAAAAGTAGTTGAAATACTGTCAAGCTCATTATGAAGTCATTGTATATTATCTGTATGTCACAAATAACAGATTAATAAGAGATTCTTTACTGCAAATGTAAAAATGGTCTTGGAATAAATGGTAATCTGTAGGAAACTGAAATACCTTACTTGTGTATCTTCACTTTCTGTAACTTCCATATTTTTCCCTCAGGTTCAAATTTTGCTGAAACTGTGGAGGAATGGCTTCAGTTTAGATGATGGAGAATTGAGATCCTATTCAGACCCAATAAATGCTCAGTTTCTTGAGTCTGTTAAAAGAGGGTGAGTTAAAATAGCAATTTTATTGAGGCGCATCCTTTAACTGAAGAAAACTGTTTTCTCAAAATGATTGAAATTATTAAAAACTCAAGGTTTTTGCTATGTTTGCACCCATAAAATGAGTTCTATATTTGTCATCAGATGCATAGAGTACTTAAAAATTTGAAGTTTTTTGGTATCTTACTCCTATAGGCTGTTAGTTCTGTGTATTTTGTTAGTGATTTCTAGGCTGATCTTTTTTCTTCATTTTAATTTTTCATTTTATCTGTTGTTTTGAGATGAAATCAATTCGTAAAACAATTGGGCATCTCCATCTTCTAAAGCAAGCGGAATGCAAGCATGAACTTGTACAGTGCAAGATTTTTGTGTAATTCCTCATTGCTGTACAGAGCATAACTGAGAGCCTTTTTTGTATTAAGGGAAATTCCTGTGGAACTGCAGCGACTTGTTCATGGTGGCCAGGTTAACCTGGATATGGAAGACCACCAGGAGCAGGAATACGTGAAGCCAAGGCTGCGATTCAAAGCTTTCAGTGGAGAAGGGCAAAAGCTTGGAAGGTAAAAATCACTGAGTGTTCTGTGTCCATATGTCATTCCAAAAGCTGGATTCAATCAGTTAGGAGGCTTTTGGAGAACTAATCAGGTGATGAAAGCAATATGAAATCATTTTGTGCTACCTTGATTTCAAGGTCTCAGCCCTGATTTCATAGTCACTTGTGAATGTGGAAGCTTATATGTAATCTTACTAAAAGGCAAGTCTTACTTCTGTGTCCTGGATCTGCTCTTAAACCTGCTAGATGTTTGTTGGAAATACAAGATTTCTCTGCATATTCTTATGTATAGCTTTGTGTATACATATATTTTTCCACCAGTGGAACTGGTACCTAATAATGCAGAAGTCATTTCTGTGTTTTGCGTGTCTACTTTGTCCAAATATGCATAATCTCTGTTCTGATTAAATTACTGTCATAATAAACAGTTAAGTGACAATTCTGCCAGTGAGCAGGCTTTTTACATGACAATTATCAGTTTCATAGCATCTTCTCCCACTGATTTGATATGAGCTGTTGAGTTGTGCATGTTCCTCAACTTTTATTTATGATTATGTCTATTCATGTGATGTTTGTTTGCCAAAAAAGATACTAACAGTATGCTGTTGTACTTAATGTTGGGGAAGAAGAGGCTGAGGGGAGACCTTATTGCTCTCTTCCAATACCTGAAAAGTGATTGCAGCGAGAGTGGGGTTTGTCTCTTCTCATTGGTGACTGGTGACAGGACAAGGGGAAATGGCCTCAAGTTGCACCACAGGAGGTTTAGGTTGGATATCAGGAAAAAGTTCTTTACAGAAAGGGTCGTTAAGCACTGGAATAGGCTCCCCAGGGAGGTGGTTGAGCCACCATCCTTGGATGTGTTTAAAAACCGTCTGAATGTGGTGCTCAGGGACATGATTTAGCAGAGGGTTGTTAGACTTAGGGTAGTATGGTTAGGTTGTGGTTGGACTTGATGATCTTTAAGGTCTTTGCCAACCTGAGCAGTTCTGTGATTCTTTGTAATTCACTAAATGCTTCTTAGTAGTTTCCAAACTGTATTTCCCATTTAAAAAAAAAAAAAAAATCAGGAAATGTGCTCACAAGAAATAAAAAGGTGAGAAGCTCTGGTAGGAGTGATGCTGTGAACAGTTATATTCAGTAGCATGTTCACCTGAGCACTTGCTTGGGCTACTTAAAGAAATACAGAACAAAAACAGGTGGGGAAGAGAGGTTGTATACAGAAGAATGTGCACACAAAATTGTAGAATTTCTTTGTTTTAGTATCTTGTGCAGTCTTAACTATTTAAGCAGTGAAAGAAAGGAACCAAATAGTTATCTCCAATCAGATTTGTCTTATTTGTATACTATGCAAGACGAAGACTGTAAGCTTTCTTTGCGGTGTTGCCAATTATCTGCTCTAAAAAGGTGGGGCATACCCAGAATCGTAAAACGTTGCTCATGACAGCAATTTCTAAATTTCTAGTTTGTGACAGTTAGTACAATATAATGCTGTGTAATTATTCTTTTTAAGTTCAGTCTGTGAGTTATGATATGTAAATCCTAGTATCAAAGACTGTCACTTCATGTTCTGCATGCATAATATTTCAGTTCAGATATTTCAGTTTGTACTTGATTACCAATTTAATATCGGGTAAATGTAAGGATCTACACAGTTACAGGAAAAATATATGTGGAATTTTAGTCTTTGAAAAGAAACTATATAAGTATTGTTTATCTCATTTTGTTTTTTTTCCACTTGTCTAGTCTTACACCTGAAATAGTCAGCACACCTTCATCTCCAGAGGAGGAGGACAAATCCATTCTTAACGCACCTGTTCTGATTGATGATTCTGTTCCAGCAACTAAAATTCAAATCAGATTAGCTGATGGAAGCCGATTAATACAAAGATTTAATCAAACACACAGGTAAATTAATTCTACATCAATAATTAATTCTTCATCAATCAGTCTGTGATTCTGTGATTCAATACAGGTGACAAAAATTATTTTGGTAAGTTTGTGCTTTATCATCAAATGAATATCAGGAAAGCACCGAAAAGGGGGAAATAAAATTCCACAAGAATATCACAGATCTGCATTGTTTTCATAGACAGAGATGTTCTGATGGTCAATTTATCAATACAAAACTCTGTAATTGAAAACACAGGATATTTGGTAATTGCAAAGTCACAAACTTTCCTGACTTGTGATGTCCCGTGACTTGTAAAGACTCAGTACCAGCTATAATGAGTGTCTGTTTAGGTATGAGATCCTCTTACTATTCCTGAGAAAGCTGACATCTGGACAACCTTTCAGTGTAGTCATCTCAACCCTGAACTGATCATGGGAAAAGCCAGTGGCTGACTTGAATGACTCTGTGAATGCACCTTGTTTTAAGGCGTTATGGAGTATAATGAAATGTATTCCACAGTATAGGCAGAATTGCTCCTGCAATCTGTATTTCTATTTCACTGTACTTGAAGCTGCCTAAACTATGACTGAATAAGATATGATTTGTAAGTGTAGGCTGATTCCTGTAGTCAGAAGGGTATGGTCACACCATACTCTTTTCAGTTCTGCTGTGTGGCTGGGCTAGTGCTGACAAACAATGGATGGTTGTCTCCTAGGGATGGGCAGTGTGTGAAACTTGATGAGTGTTTAAATTCATTAAATAGAATAGTTCAGTAGGAAGGGATGTTCAAAGATCATATAGTTAAACTGCCTGACCTCTTTTGGGGTTACTCAAAAGTTAAACATGTTGTTGAGGGCATTATCCAAAAGTGTCTGGAATGCTAAGGAGACACGGGTCATCAACAACCTCTTTAATAAGCCTGCTCCAGTGTACGATGACCTTCACAGTGGGGAAATTTTTCCTTATGGCAGGTTTGAATCTCCCCTGGCACAGCTTTGTGCTGTTCCTACAGGTCTTGTGAATGGTTATCAAGGGGAAAAAGGCCAGCAGCTGCTAATTGCTCAGTGCTCCAATCTCTCTAAAACCCTCTGCAGAGCCTCTCATCCCTCTCAGTTTAGCATTGCTAACAAACTTGCTGAGGATACACCCCAGTCCTGCATCCAGATCATTGATAAAAATGTTGAGCAGACTAGAATTGAGCCCAGGGAACACCGCTGGTGATCGTCTGCCAGCCTGTAGCTTCATTTACTACAACCCTGTGCATGCTACCATCAAACCAATTCATCACCCTGCATGACATGAAACAATTTATCTCAGAACTGGTTAATTTGTCCAGAAGGATGCCATGAAGGGCAGTATGAAAGGTCTTAGTGAAATCCAGAAAGATTATATCCCCTGGTTTCCTGTGATGAATTGGTCTTGACTATCCCTGAGAGTATTTTTGTTGTTTAAATGCCTTTCAGTGTCCCACAGGACAGTCTTCTTCATAACTCTTCATGCCTCTGAGATTAGATCGATAGGTTGTAGTTTCTTCAGTCTTCTCTCATGCCCTTTCTGTAGATGGATGTAAGATTAGCTAGTTTCCATTAGCAGGGACTTCTGACTTTCATGACCTCACTTAAAATTTTGAGAGAAGTCCAGCTGTAACATCTGTTAATTCCTTCCTAAGCACTCTGGAATGAACCCTGCCTAGCTCTGGGGACTTAGGAATGTTGAGCTAATACAGTTGTTCCTTTACAATTCCACTGACTATAGATGTAAAGTCAGGGTCCTCCAACTTTGGGATCGAGGCACCCCAAAATCTATCATTGCTATTAAATATCAAGGTGTTAAATACCTCTGTTTTTTCCTCCTTATTCAGTGACCATCTGTTCCAGTCAACTTAGTAGGCTGTTGTTTGGATCTTGCCATCACTTTTATTGACATTTTTGGGGCATTATCACAAATGGTGTTGGCCAACCTCATTTATTTGTCTAAGAGATTGTTTTAGAGCAAAGTTCTGTGAAGTTATGCTTTGTGCTTGCTGTTCTACGTGGCTGAGAGAACTTTGAGCAGAAGGCAGAGATTTGGGTAGTGGTTCTACCCATGCTTGACAACCAGCAAGGCTCAAGTTAGCCCACTCCAAAATCTGTAGCATTGTGTTAGAACACAGCTGAAACTGGACTTGAATCCTGCCTTGAAGGTGATCTTAGTATCTTAGTGTGTGGACTCAGTTTCTTTACAAAGCTGTTACATGGCTTTCAGAGTCCACCTGTTCTCTTTTTTTTTCTTCCATTTCTGTCTCAGAATAAGGGCAGAGCCAATGTGCAACTTTCTGACAGAATACACAGACTACAAGAAGGTAATTTTAGCTGAGATGCCAATAGACAAGAAGTTGCAGTAATGTCTCATACTTAGTAGACTTGATGATACCAGCCCAGGCTCTTCCTTCCCAGCACCAATTGGAGAAATTACTTGCTGGAGAGGCTCTGTACTCATGATGTTTTATGTTCTCTGCATTGAAGGGTAGAAGTGGTAAATTCCCAGTAACATCTGTAAGAATGGCTGTATTGACAGAAGCTTATTTAATAATTACTGGTGTTCTCTTAGTTATTTTTACTAAAATGCATTGCTTGCATCATAAGCCTTGAAGATAGAAAGTTTGTCCCTGCTTATTTGTTTACAGTAAATCTATCTACTTATTAGTTCAGTAGACCTTCAAAGATGTTATTCTCAGTTTTATTGTTGAGTTGTTTTTTATCTCTAAAAATCTTACTTTCATCCATGTCTTACAAAACTAAATTATATTTGCTATGCTGTGTCTGTTTTATTTTGTTTGCTAGTTCAATACTAAGTGAAAGCAGGGGAAACCTACTTGCTATTGAGGTGCATTAATAATTCCCCTCTGCTTTCTTATCACCGTATGTTATAAGATTTTTCCTTCCATTAATATTTTAACCTTCATGGTGTATACTAATTAATATGGATATATATTTTTTTGCAATAGGAATTGAAATTACTTGACTTCCTTACAATGCACTCCTATGTTAATACTTTTATTTCTCTTATTTGAGAAAACATGCAGCATTAAAATTAATTCTTAAGATTTTGTCTACAAGAAATAAAACATTTCTAGGCTGCAACCCATAGCAGTATGGATGAAATTGAAAAGTAAAACCAGTAAGACATATTAAACAGTTTTTCAGTCTATTAGAAGATTGTGTTCTTTGTCTTCAAAGATTCAGATTGGAATGGAATCATACACAGCTTTCATGTCCATATCCCTTCCACAGGATTAAAGATATTCGAGATTTCATTATCCAGTCCCGTCCAGCATTTGCATCAACTGATTTTGTTCTTGTGACGACTTTTCCAAATAAAGAGCTAACAGATGAAAGCCTGACACTACGAGAAGCAGATATACTTAACACTGTGATTCTCCAGCAATTAAAGTAATCTTAGAGCTGTTGCTAACAGAAGCAGTATGTGCTGTATTGTCATACAATGTTTTCAATAGATGAAAAAAAGAAGGATCGATGTCTTTATTCTTCCACTTCCATAGATCAGATTTTTAGGTTTCATGTCTTCCAGCTATAGCGTGTCTTATTTTAATTACTCAGCATTGTTTAACCCCCTTTCAGTGTTAAATTGAGCTTCCCTTTGTTAGTATGTTTCAAACAATGCCATGTATGAGATGTGAGCTATCACTCTTCAGTGTTTTATGGAGGGGGGTGGGAGAGGAGGTGAAGAATTTTTCTGGAGGGGACAATGTATTTCACACAGTTGGTAAGATTTGCACTATGGAAATGTTTTATGCTGCACTGACAAACAGCCATGTGAAAAAAACGTAGCCTGTAGGTTATGTTTACCTTCCAAGCTGTATTATCATTAAGGTATTCTGTTTGATAGGTTGACAGATAATTAATGCTGTATTATAAGTTTTGTATATTCTGTTTCTAGTGTTTCATGGTGTAGTATAATTATTTATATTCTAATTCTTATGTAAATATCCTTATATTGTTGTTTTGAGGGGATCAGTATCAGGAGATGCAAAGCTCAGCTCTTGCAGACTATAACAGTGTTCTAATTTGTATTCTGGTTGTTCTACTTGTGGTGTAAATTAAGTATGAATTTCTTTTCTTCTGAAGTTAGGGAAATGAGAAGGACTACTGTCATCTGAAGAACTGCTGTGATGTAGACTTTGTGAGGGTAGGTCTGTGGTTACTTTGAACTTGAACCCTGTGCAGCTGTGTGATTCTTCACATGAGCAGTTACTTAAATAAAAGCTACCGAGAGGTGCACAGACAAAAATTGTTTATTCAGTCATTTGCATGCAGAAAAGTAGACATGTTAACTGATTGTGTATTTTTGACCTGAAAGTCAAAATATTTATATTTGGAATTTTGGCTAATAACCTTTTGTAATATTCAGTGGGGATTCACTTGTGCAACTTGCCATTATACACTTCCATTGGAGGTTGTATAATTAAACCTCTTAATCTTTGAAATCATATATTTTTTTTCAAATAACGTGGTCCTACACTGCAATATGTAAGTAGGGATCTTACATTGTGGGCAGACTGGCTGCTGTGCTTTAATAGTATGCAGATTTATAATATTTGTGGCTTTATATCAAATGAATGGATCAGACTCTGAAGGAGAGTAAATGGTCTGTGTTCTTTTTACAGATATATGTATTAAAAATACTGTTTTCACTGATTATTTTATCTTGAAAATATCAATGTGTTTATTTATGCATAGCTTTATCTTTGGTTGATATATTAGGTTAATCTTTTAATCTCAAAAGAAAAGTTTGAGTAAATTTTAAATGTGCAGTTGTATTTGAAGTCACTTGTTTTTGTAATCTGTTTGCATGATTTAATCATAAAGCATTTAATGTGCTAAGTAAATAAATTTCTACGCTAAAAGACTGTAGGCAGTTGTTGTTCTTTCCAGTATATGTTGTGATGAAGTGGTGATTGTTGTGTGCCAAATATAAAAAAATATTTAGACCTAAGTGGAAAGGGATGGACACGCACTGTGCATGTATTTTATATATTTATATTCTGTCTATAAACGTGAGGTCAGAGTCAGTACTGTGAAGCAGACCATGGGCAGTCTGTGCTTTGGGCTTATTTCAGCTCAGAATGTAGGTGCAGTTGCATTGCTTATTATCTTTGAAGACTGACATTAAACACGGAGTTTAACCAAATAATATTTTTTTCCTCTTACTGTGCCAAAAAACAGCTCATATTATGACAGCGTTTATTTCAAATAGCTGATAAATGTTAATGCTCAGTAGCAGCTGATACTATCTAGGAGCCCCAGTAGTTGAGTTTATTTTGTCAAGCATTAGAAATTTGTATCGGTGCATGAATTAAAATATTTCAATGCTTTGAAGTACTCGAAAACCTCTAGAACCTGTTCCCTCTTTCATAATTGTGTTTGTCATACTTTTTATTAATGTTAAATTCTCCCTCTTGAAGCTAACACAAGGCACAAAGCTGTTCTTGGAATGAAGATCTATGTGAACGTGTAACTAAGACTGGCTACAGGGAAGAAGGGAGTATGAAAACAGAACTGGTGGAAGATCTCTTACAGAGCAAGGCTATTGAGGTATTTGGAAGTTCCTTTTAGCTTCTGTGAAATACAAGTGATAATGCTATCACACCTCTAGGCAGCTTATGAAAGGCTCAGGCTTGACCTTTGCTTGCCTTTTACAGAAATCCTTTATCACACAAGACCCAAACAATCCAAAAGTAAATGTTTTCTGTTGAAAACCTGGGCTTGAAAGCTTGTGCTTTTTTTGGACACCACTACCATTTTTGTAATCATTTATTCTGGGCAAACATAATCAGGCTTGTTGGTTTGGATGTTTTTTCAGCAGCATTTTGAGAAGTTTGTAAACATTCTGCCTTAATCTGACTAGTGGTTGCACTTGTTGTGTATGCTAACAACTAGATCGTGCTGTTCTCACTCTTAATGCAAATCTTTCTTAATATTAAATGAACCAAGTAAGAGCTTCTAAGTGCTCAGAGGTGCAGTTTGCAGCTCCTGCTTAGTTGCTTGCACTAAGGGAAAGCTCCCACGATCTTTAAATGGCATTGTTCTGCAGGAGGATCAGACTGTTCCTTCTCTTTGCTTGTGCTGTTCAAGCCTGTCAGGCCTCAGCCAAGGCATGTGCAGTTCTATGGGCAGATGAGGCAGTGAATGGCAAGAGTATAGAATAATAAGGATTGAAATGATGTCACACAGAGAGCAGTGAGCTTGTGTTATTTCTGTGAGTTGTATATTGTTGGAGTGGGGTTTCGAAAAGTTTAAGACTAGGATTTTTCAGCTGATGTTCAGCTGATCATCAACTGTTTGAAGTTAAACTTCAAAAACCCAATGATTAATGCAGTGATAAATGGCAGTAGGCAGCAATTGTGTTGAACACTTAGTGAATTATAGCAATCAGATCAAACTGTATCCTTAATGCAGCTAAATGTTGAGGTATGAATCTGGAACTAACTGTGGAAGGCACGAATAGTCTAGAAAGTACTGACCCTGAAAAGGAGATGGATGACAGCAAGAAAAAAATTCAGCAGAACTGCCCCTACTCCTCTGAGGTTTATGGAGTTTTCTTTATGGCTGGGAGATTACTTTTATCCATATGTTTGTTAGTAGTGAACTCAATACTTCTATGGTGCTTGTCTTGCTGAAGAGCTTTGGAATTAGGAAAATAAGTAGAAATAATTTAAGAGCTGAAGAAATTACCTTAAAGCTCAAAACAGGGTAGCTTATTGGGTAGAAGACGGAGAGCTGAGCTGATTTACAGAGGGCATTCATTCAGGGGGTGGGATTATAGTATTATAGGGCTCTAGTAGAAAAAAAGCATAATGAAAATTAGAATCTTGTACAGAGATGGAAGATCAGATATTTTTGAAGAGAAATTAAAACACATTCTTTAATATATGAACTACTGCAACGAATCCACTTGAGAATCAACTGCTATTTTAATTCTCATTGTTATGGTGGTTTTCTTTAAGATTTGGTTACAAACACAGTATGTATGGGTTTTTTTACTGTGACAAGATAGAATGAAATGGTTTAGTATTTGAAGAGCAGTTTATTTGGCTTTTGGCTTGTGATACTTGCAATTAATAGTTTGTGATGGCTGTTTCATGCTAACTACTTCACTGTGCATCTTCAATATTTCCATTAAGAAAAGCTGGACATGAGGCAGCAGTGTGTCCTTGCAGCCCAAAAGGCCAGCTGTATCCTAGAGTGCATCAGAAAAGGGGTGCCCAGCAGGGAGAGGGAGGAGATTGTTCTCCCTCTACTCTGCCCTTGTAAGACCCCTACCTGGAGAACTGTGTCCAGGCTTGGGGCACCTAGTACAGGAAGGGTGTGGAGCTGTTGGAATGGGTCCGGAGAAGGCCATGAAGATGATCAGAGGGCTGGAGCACTTAAGAAGACATGCTGAGAGAGCTGGACTTTTCAGTGTGGAGAAGGCTCCAAGGGGACCTCATTGTGGCCTTCCAGTACTTAAAGGGAACATAAGCAGAAAGGGGAGTGACTTTCTACATGATCTGATAGCAGTAAGACAAGGGGAAATGGCTTTAAACTGAAAGAGGGAAGATTTAGATTGGATGTTAGGAAAAAGTTCTTTACTCCTTGGGCAGTGAGGTGCTGGCACAGCTGCCCGGAGAAGATGTGGACTCTCCATCCCTGAGGGGCATTCAAGTCCAGGTTGGATGGGGCGCTGGGCAGCAGAGCTGGTAGGGGGCAGCCTTGCCCATGGCAGGGAATTGGATGATCTTTGAGGTCCCTACCAACCCAAGTTATTCTATGATTCTAGTAAAAAATAAATAATTAAAAAAAAAAAAAAAGTTTACTATCTCTACCTTCCAAGATTACCAGATAAGTACACTTTGAGGATAAAACAAGTTTTCTGACTATCAAATTTAATTTTACTAATTGTTTCATGTTAATAGCTGTCTACAGAGTTTTGGACAACTTAATGTCTCAGAATTTTAGAGTTTATATTGTGCAGATGTTTCAGTGAACACAATTCACTTGTGTTTATCTTGCAATTGATCCTAATCAAGTTCAGTTAAATCATGATTTATCAGAGGTTCAGAATATAAATATCCTTATAGTCTTTTTGCTCTCATTTAGTTAATCCGTTTTAATTGAGACTTCACAGATAAAAATTTCTGCCCAAATGTGCAAGTGCTTGTTTTATGAGAAAGTTTGCAACTGATGAAGAGTCAAATATGGAATTTATTTGTGCTTGTGTTTGAATACTTCATCTGTTAACAAGCTGGTTGTTAAAATCTGATTTGAGGTGATTTTGGCTCTGAATGCAGAATTTTATTGCCACATATTGTCTATAAATGAGTATGTCAGTTCTTGTGAGCCCTTGTTTCCATTTGTATCACTTTTTTATTGAGTCTTTTGTTTTGAACATGTGTATGCTCTCAACTCCAGTAACTATAAAATTGTTTGTATAGCTTTTAAAGCTGCGTATCTTTACTAAAGCTGTGACTTTCCATAGCAGTCCCCACATCCCTAGTCTAAAAGGAACTATTGAAAGCAGAAGACCAAGTATAAATGGATATAGACAGATGGTTATGTTAAGATGCTTTTCTCTAAATGATTTGTTCCTACTCTTACAGTCCAGCAACTCCTTTAGTTTTTTTAAGGAATCTTCCCTGGTAACAGCCACAGGTCTTAGACCTGTGACCACCACTGAAGATAAGCCTGGTCTGTGTGAAGGGATTGAATGCTTCATCTGGAGAGATAGACCTTAAAAGGGTCTGCTCAGAGAAAGGCAATGAACTCAAATCCTGTCTTAAATATTAATACTGGGAAGGCTCAGCTGTATCACTGAGTGGTACCAGGTGTATTTCAGGTTTATCTTTTCAACCAGTAAAAGGGAGACTAGCTATTCTTTGTATAGTACAACATGCAGCTTGGTGGCCGTTTGAGTTGTCCCTCTCTACCTCCCTCTGTTCCTTGTTGTTTTGATATTTCACATTTAAATCTGACCATTCATGGACTTTGTCCACCAAAGGACTCAGTATGAGTAAGCACTACTTTTTGTATTGTTGCTGCAGATCTCAGCCTTTGGAGAACGGCTCTGTTTTTGTAGGATCCTACTGTTCAAATAAAGAAATAAAGCTTAGGTTGCATGTATGATAAAGGTGTAGAGTAGGTTCCATTGTCAGCAAGTAAACTTGAGAAAACTAGATAGAACTTTGGAAGAACTATAGTTCTTCATGTTATTCCTGTAACCTGCAATGACCTCTTCCACAAAGCAATTTTTACTTGTTATTTACTCAGCTAAATGTCCATATACAGAAAATCCCTTTAAGTTAATCTTGCAATGCTTAATGTCTGCATTTAATTCTGTGCTCTGAGCAGTTTACTAAAGACTATTGGCCTGCCTGTAAACACATGAAAATAAGTTTGATGCTTTGTTCCAAAGTTTTTTTTGTGGTTGGTATCTCTCTGCCTGCAATTCCTAAAAATACTGACTGCCTAGTTGCACTCTTCTAGGCAGATTGCAGTAAAGCTTAAAGAATAAAAATAAAATTAATTAGTTTAATGGGTATATTACTGGTTTCCCCAGTTCTCACTCCTAGGTCCTGAACAGGATTGAGTGTTGCTGCAATAAAATTGTTGTTTCCATGGGTCTCCAAGTTGATGCACAGATGTACGCAATATCTAGTTTTGGTGTAGAGAAAACATATGTCAGATAAATACTTGTTCTCTCGTTTCTTTCTCTTTTGAAACAGCAGTTTAGCTGAACACATAGAAGTTAGAACGCGCCAACCTGGCAAGGTCTGTTTGCCTTAGTTGCCTTTATAGGTTTTATTACCCAATCTGCTGCGCAAGCAGAGAAGGTAGAGGTGACCTGGAGTTAGCGATTACCAAATAGCCTTCACTCGTTGCCAAGGCCACCAACAAACATGCTCTTCACTCCATGAACATTCTTAGAATAGTACCATTTGCAAGCTGAGATAGTGCTGCTGTCTCTGTACAAGCACAGAATGGTTTGTTAAGTATTGTTACAACAGTAATACAGCTTTACTGTAGAGAAGACTATGTATTGATAAAAGACTTAAGTCTGTGCTTAGTGGAACAAATTTGACTCCCTCCCAGTAACAATGTCAATAATAAGTATTTGTATTATATAAGTATATAATATATGTATTATATAAGTAACAATGTCAATAATAAGTATTTGTCAATAATAGTATTTGTAATATATTCAGAAGAATTTGAAATTCTGTTGTAACAGTTTTATTATAGAGAACTTGTCTATAGTTATATGGGTATTTTAAAGTCTGCAAGACAGAATGAAAAAAATCTATAATTTTACCATTATATAGGAAAAAATAATGTGGGATAGGGTTTTACAGAAATAAACAACCAGGGAATGCCAAAGCTACTGATCTAAGGAATCAGACTATTCATCAAGAATCAACTATAGCATGGTTTGTTGAGGACATGGTAGTATTTGTCTTTCTCTTCTCAGTGGGGGGAAAAAAAAAAGATTCTGCTTGTAACTTGCTATTCCTACCGAGAGGGAAATGTTAGACCTTTAAGAAGTCAGAATGTTTTGGAGATTTGAAGGCCATACTTGAATGTGGCAGTTAAGCAAATGAGAAGTAGCTATTAACACCAGGGAAGAGTTTTATTTTCTGGTTTGCCTTAACATTGGGCAGTTAATTAGAGAAAGACTTTGTGAGCTGATCATAGCAAATAAATAGGAGATTTCTCTTTTTATGCAGTCAGTCTGAGGAACAGATCGTGATCTGTGGTAGATATTTCTGCCAGAAAAGCTCCAACAAATGTGACAATAAAGGATGTTGCCTTCTTTCTTCAGGCCTCATAGCACTCACTGAGCTTGCAGCCTATACTTCCCATGCCATATGGCTGTCCTTTCATAATTGTCAAGCATGTTCCTTGTATTCTTGCCTGCTTCAGCATCTATCCCAGTAACAGAGGGAGTCTTCTGACAACGTTTTCATTCTGTGTTCTGAGTCTCATTCAGTATATTGTATCTTATCCATTTTGCAGCTACTGATTCTACTTGAGTAATGAATACTGACCTGACTAATGCTTTGCTTGGTTAACTAATTAGGCTGATCATGTAGCAGCATCTAACTAAAGTTTACGTCTTTTGGAAAACTTTGTATCCCAAGGATTCACCTTCTGAGAGCCATTTTTTGAGGTGCATATTTAAGAAGTCATTGGCAAGACATCTTTTAAAGTTGAAGGAAGAGAAACAATTCATCCTCAATTCAATAGTGGAAGATTGTCATATTTGATACAAGCATCATTAATGCATTTTGATTTCCTCCCTTTTTGATAAGCTAAGTTTTTCAAGTTAAACATCTCAAATCTTTTTAGTGTTGCTTCTCTGTTGCTATTACCCAGGAGGTATCAACCTCTGAGAAATTCTCAACCCTTCTATGCCCAGAATGAAGTCTTTTTAATTTGAAGGGAGAGGTAAAAGGCAGGAATTGCATTAGAAGTATGAGCCTCATCTCTTATTCAGTGAGGGAAAATACAGGGAATGCAGAGTGAAGTTGGCCACAAATACCAGTGGATGTAATAAGTGGATGCTCTATTCAGCATTGGTGAGGCCGTACCTGAAGTACTGTGTCCAGTTCTGGTCCCCTGAAAACAAGAGTGACATGGTCATAATGAAGAGTGTCCGGCAGAGGGCCATCAAGAGAATGAAGGCACTGGAACACTTCTACTATTAGGGGAGTCTGACGGTGAGCTGGGACTGAAGAAGAGGAGGCTCATAGGGATCTCATCAATGTCTGTGAATACCTGAAGGAGAGGTGGAGAGGGGATGGATCCAGCCTCATTTCAGTGGTGCCCCATACCAGGACAAGAGGCAGTGGGCATAAATTGGAGCACAGGAGGTTCCTGCTGAACACCAGGAGCTGCCCAGAGGCTGTGGAATCTCCTCCTTGGAGATCTTCAGCAACTGCCTGGGTGTGGGCCTGGGCCCCTGCTCTGGGTGTCCCTGATGCAGCGGGGATTGGGCCGGTGGGACCCTGAGGGGCTTTCTTACTTTTGTCATTCTAATTATGTAATAACAACAAAAGACCGTGTTTAGCATGAGAGAGAGTGGTGGCTGGTCCCTACTGTTCCTACTTATGAATTTCTCTTTTCTCATTGCTTTTCCAACTTTTTCATCCTAGAATGTTGTTGAAGACTTCTGTCTTTCCTCACCATGTTTGAGTAAGTGGATGATTATTGCCTTGAACCTAAGCTAATGCACTTTTGCATTGTCATCTCAGTAAAGGGATTTGAGATCTTAGAGATCTGCAGCTGATCTGTCAACTCATGTCATGCCAAAAACTGCAGATATTGCAACTTAGCTGTGGAAGAATTTCTCCTTTCTGATTCTCCTTTTTAATTTTTTTTTTCTTTTCTTGC